GAAGGCTTTTGTAATTCAATTTGGCTTCTTCTATCTTCGATTGAATCAGATTTCAATAACATAATAAATATATATAATCTTAATAATACAAATAATATCAATAAAGTACCTTTATATCAACAAATAATGGGTAATTACAGATATAGATGGCAATTTAATTTTCATCAATATTTTGCGCCTTATTATTGATTTATTTTTCGATTAATTCTCTTCAACTTTTTACAAGAAGATTCATATTTTTATTAATTTTTATGAAATCGTTTCAAATACAAAAATTTTAAGAAAATATAAACAAACAACAAATGAAAATTAGAAATAGATTTAAGATAAGGTATTAGAGAGGTTGTTAGTATTAAACAAGAAAATTGAATATTAGTTTACTATAATTAGTTTTAATCAGGTCTTGCTCAATCATATAACTATTATAAAATTTATTATATTTATGATTTCATTTCTTTGATTGCATTAAGTAAACAATACTAATAATCCAACTTAATAACACAGGATTAATTTGAAATATTATGATATTAGGTTAATTAACTTAGTTATTTTGGCTTAATTTATTATAATACAAACATGGAATATTACTTTTGAAAAAGAATTAACGTGAAGGGCTGATTAAGGAGAAATTTTTTGGTTTATCGAGATTATGGGAAAACTAAAATATAATAAGATTTAAGGAAACTTATTTTAATTTAAATGAAATTCATAATGTTTTTAAATTCAGTGAGATTATATAATATTCTTAAGATATCATTTAAATTTAAAATTAATTCAATTAATATAATTATTATAATTTAATTTCTGACAATGAATGCTTTTGAACCATTGGCTGTTATAAAAGCTTTAACAGAATTGTATCTTCAATCCAAAAGTAAAAGGATGGGTTAGTACATAGAAGGAAATAATTATGGATACATAAAATCAATAAGCTCTAACTTAAAATAAGATGGAACAAAGGTTAAGTTAATTATTAATTATTTTAAAAAAGAAAAATTAATTTTTAAAAAAGATACAGTGAAATTTACTGATTAATCAACTCAGTAATATTATGCTAGTTATAATTAAAAGAAAAAGTTCTAAACCAATTTTACTGTTACATAACGAAATCTTATAAATTAGTTTGTAAAATTGATTAATTTATTTGAACTTAATTTATTTTATTAAATAGTTTGAACTAATAATTTCTTATAATTTTGAAGGTGATTTCCATTTTGTACTACTTTTGAACCAAATTAAAAACCTAAAAATACCTTCGTATATAAGTGGTACACCAAGGAGAGAAACAAAAACAACTTATGATTGTAGTCATCCCAACGATCCAGACATGAATAGGTGTATATCTAAAGACCTATAACTATCGTTGGGAAAATTTTCTTGAATACCATTAATTCTGATTGTGAGCCTAAATTAAGTATAATAAAGGGAGAATATCATTTCTTGAAAGAAAAAATTGAACTAAGATTAAAGATTTTGGGAGCGGATCTAAACTTAAGATAATATTGAACATGTCTATATCTTATTGGACGAGAAAAAAGAGAGAGAAAATATTGGAATGGAAGAATACAAATTTGGAAGTTGGTTCTATGTTTTAATTAAAGGAATCAGTCAATATTGGAGAGTCAAAACATTTTTTCATTAAAAAGACAATTACCTAGTATCTGACTCAAGGAGCATATATTCTCAACAGAACCAAAGAGAAATAAGTAACTAAAAAGAAGTTGGCTAATTTTGAAAAAAAATTACTGATATCTCAGAAATAAGGAAAGGATCTGGAGAAACAAATGATGCAATATAGATACCAGAATTACGAGGAAAGAAATGAGTATTTAAGAATAAGATTTTGGAAATGGAAATGGAAATGGAAATGGAAAGAAATGACAAGCTAGAAACACAGATTAATAGAGACTAGGAAGGCGAGATGATGAAGAGAGCTTCATTACTGATTACAAAAAAATAATACACATAGGGCAATTAACTGAACAAGAATTTAAGAGAGACCGAGGAAAAATTAAATGAGACTTTGATAGAATCAATAATGGAACTTACATGAACAGTAAAATGAATATATTCATTGATATAAGGACATCTCTTATGATTTTTTGCTTCTGATAGCTGTTAGATTAACTGTAGAAAATACTTAAATGAATGATTCAACGACATGAATCTTTAATATTGAAACTTGGAAGAATAATGAATTCTGCCTGCCATAGAGATTAATCCCTCTAAAAAAGTTATACTAAAATTGAGAGAGTCGATGATATGTGGTCTGAAATCAACTTATAATATGCAGTGGACATATATTCAAACTTTTTAGGATATCAATAAGACAAATTTTGACCCATGTCTAGTCAGATTCGCTTAGAATCCTAGGGACGTTAGTATAAATAGGCCAAATTCTTACAATATGAATTAGAAAGGAGAAAAGAAAACTTCATATTCTTCACTTTGTTTGATGCACACAACACAGTATCTAGAGAAGCCAATGATGAGAAGATAATTTTTATTTTAGGCAATGCTCGATTTCTTATAAAATGTAGACTACAACCTTAACAGTTTTGATTCAATTAAGATAAGAAAAAGGAAGTTTTAAGATTGAAGTCTAATAAGGATCGGCTATAAGCCCTTTCTTATTTAATAAGTTTTTGACCATTTGTTGTCTAGGAATAAGCTGAGAAACTTCCATTAAACAAGCCAAAATGAAGAAGATATTTTAAGAAGTTGAAATACTGAACTTTACAGACGATATCGTATTCGGGAAGACATGAGATTACTCAAATATTTTCAATATTATTTATTGAAGTACTTAAGAACTACTAACTGAAAGGAAAAAATTTTGAAGTGAAAATATATGGCTAATAATTTCAATGACAACTTGAAATTGATATCTATCAGCAGTGCAGAGAGATTCAGATGCCTGAGTGTGTGACTAACAGTGAGAGGTAAAACTAAAATTAGATGTAAATTTCAAAAAAATTAAAATCTATAAAGCAGCTTAGCTATGCATTATCAGTAAGATAATACCCTTAAAGTTCTAACTAAGCCATAGAGTAGTGATAATACATTCCTCCTCATTTTGGATATCATAATCTGGCCATCTTGAAAGAAAAGTTCAATTCAATGGTAATAATAAGGAGAAACCCATTTAGAAGTTAGATTATTTTTTGAACTTTAATCTTCCTTTTCTTTAGTGGGTTCAAAATAAGACACAAGAATATAGAAATCCAATTATTTTTCGAAACTCTCTATTCTACACAATAATATTCTCGTAATAGCCGATTAAGAATTATGTAATTTCAAACTTACTGTAATTATTTTCTTTATCCTATATTTTATGTCATTTTCTCTCTCAAACCTAAACCACTCTTTAGCAGAAAATATACAATACTTAACTGCTACAGTACATTTAATCCTATCCATATTAGCACATAAGATAGTTTTCAAAAAATGAATTAAAAGGTTTAAATGTTTTAGAAATTCATTTTATTGTGAAGAAAGAAGAATTTTTTGAAGTCTTAGCTTCTTCAAAAGGCATTGAAGTATAAATAATCGGTGCGCTAATATAAATATTTAGAAAAGTAAAGATTGATGATTTTTTAGAATATAAAAAGGAGGAAAGTAATAACATTTTTTGAATAATTGATTTTTTAAAAATAAACTTGTAGCTAGGAATATGTTTGAGAACAACACAAATTAAACTATAAATCTTGACTTTAATAAAATTAATTTTAGTACAGAAACCTTTGATAAAGTAGGGACAATTTATTTAGCAAAATATCAAATTTTCTTAATTTATTAATAGAAGTGAAGGTTGATCTAACAAAATAGAATTTCTAAAATATTAAGATAAAAGATACATCATTGACAGGAGCTAATATGTAAGATGAAATATGAATGGATCTGAGTTTAATAATGTAGAAATAAGTAGTAATAATTTGAATCGTGATTAGTTGTTTAATTGCAAATTGTAAAACATAAAAATGCATGAATTAGATAAAATGGCAATATTTTATACGTTGTTTCTGTATTTCTAAATATAACAAAATTAATAATTGATATAATAATACTAGTGCAAAAAATTAGTGTGATTTAAATAATAAAATAATTTATTTTAAATTCAATATATCTCTGTGATCAGCATTTATATTTTATAAGAAAAAAAGGAATATATAATATATTTTATGTCTTTTTCAATTTGATTTTGAACCTTTTTTAAATTTTATTTATTTAAAAAAACTTTAAAATTTAATTCATATATTTCTTTTTTTGTTTCAGAAACTCATTCAGAACAAATTTTCTAAGGCCTCAAGATAAATTATATTTAGAATACAGCAACTAAGAGTTATTTTCGGTGGTATCATAATGCAAAATTCACTTCATTTATGATTTTTTTCTGATATTTAATCAAAAATGACTCCTTTTCCTTGATTATTTTAATAAGAAAATAAATGAATTTTGAAGAATATAATGCCATCATTTTAAGTAAGATAATTAAGTAAATATATTTTACTTTATTAGTTGAGATGGTTTATCACATCATGATCCAAATGTAATTTGAAAATAAATGACTTCGCATCTAGAAAGGTGAACTAATTATTTATTCAAAAACTATTCAATTCATTAGGAAGAATTTTATGATAAAATTGCCTTTTCTAATTTTATTTAATAGCCAGATTCATTGAGAAATATTTAGATGGAAAAACAACGGACATTATTTCAAGTGAGCTCAAATCAAACATTTTTGGCCTAAAAAGTAATTTTAGAAGTTCATCAATGTCTCTCTCTATTTGACCTTATTTGACAAAAAATCTATTATTTTTTTGATTGTTAAGTTATAGATGGATTTTGGAGAAATCACAAGTAATTTACATAGATAATGATATAATGCCAAAAAGTGGTAAATGGTAGATTTTGTATAAGGGAGAGATGTAAAGTTGATAGTTTATTTACTAATATTTAAGTGGTGGAGGATTTTACGATATTTGATGTAATGGAATTAAAGTTGGAAAATGGATTGACTCAGAGTATGGGTTTCACGAAATGAAGAAAATAACTTTTAATAGTGAATATGAATAAAGTAAAAAAGTTTGTACTTGAGTTGAAATGATTTTAAATAGGAGATTAAAAATAATAACATAAAATAGAAAACAATAAATTATTAAAGTTTGTCTTGATTGAATTGTAATTAAGTGTTCTGTATGAATAAAAATGTATTTATATTTATTTTTTATTTTTTGATCATAAAAGCATAATTTGTATGCAAATTTAAGCATTTTTTAATTTTAATTTACTTAATCTAATTTTTATAAAATATAGTTAACTCCTCCTAAGAAAGGGTAACTAAGTGAAATATTATATCTATATTAAATATATTTATTAGTATTTATTGAAAAGAAAAAGAAAGCATTAGAACGAGGGCTCAACAACTATTGATTAATAGCCGCTAAGCGGCATAAGTTTCTTAATCTTTTTCGCGTTAGTATTCCTTTTGCAAAACAAATTATTTACTTTTTTACAATAAATAATTATGCAAATGTAGACTGCTTTTTTTTGATTTCCTTACTGACAGTAACTTTAAAAATAATATTTTCTTGCAAATAAATAATCAGATTTTTCTACTTCAAAATTTTGATTATATTCACACAATCATCATTTTTATACACTCGCCAGTTTTCTATTGTATAAATTATTATGGGAATAATCAGATTACATTATATTCTTAGTTTTAGTGAATGAATTACTTCTATTATTTCAGTTGGTAGACATGCATCAAATCTTGGTTGAAATGCGAATTTATTATTGTCGATTAAAATATGCAAGACTTAAGGGCGCAGCCTAATATTTTGAGGAGCAACCACTTTTTATTTTATTCAGAGTTCTTATTACTAAATATAAGTTATCTCTTCAACAAAAAATACTATATCTCAAAATCATTTAAACCTAATTAATCAAACCTTACGATCTAAGATGGTTTATTAAAACACCCATTAATTTTTTTTAAAAACAAATTTTATAAATTGTTTATAAGTAACTCCATTAATTATTATTTTTGCTTAACCAATTTAAAATAGATCCACCTGAATCTCCAGAAATAACGTTATCGACTTTTTCCTGAAAGTTTATTTATTTAATACACGATTTGAATGATAATTTAGAACATAATTGAATTCAAGATTTTAAGAAAGAAGTCAAGTCATAATATTTTTTCATTCTTGACTTTTGACAAAACTAGTTTGCAGTAATATAAAAATAACACAAAGCTATCGGGTGAATTATGAGAAAATAATCGCTTAATGAATCTCATATCAAATTATTACATCTTTCTCAAATTAATACTATTGGCTAAATTGATAAAATAATTATAGAATGATTAAAAAAAACTAGAACCTGTCATTTAATCATTCTTAACTTATTGCTAATTTTTATACGAAAAATTCTTATGTATTTTAGTTTTTTATCATAACATTAAATATTATAATCAAATCAAGCTATATTAATGGAACTAATAATTCTCATTTCAAAACAAAAAAGAAAATGTAAAAACCCAATAAGTTCTTCTTAAATCTTCTTTAATTAACCTTTATATGGACTACCCTTTTGAATGAAAGTAATTCACTTATTGAGAACTGCCTCAAGATGTAAATGGAATAATTCTATATTTAGTTTAAATTCTACTCCTTAGGACCTAATATTAAATGAATCTAAAAGATCGATCTATAATTTTATCTATTGATTTATCTAGTAAATCAAAAATATATCACTTATTGATTATAATGATAAAAAAAAAATTGACCTGAATTTGTGTATTATTTTAATTATTATAAACTTATAAATACTGAAACACTCTCTTTTATAGGGTTCATTAAGCATGGTGGATAGAAAAATCGTTTTAATAAAGTTAAATATACTGAGATATATGTGTCTAATTTTTGCTCTTCATGTAAGAAGAAAGGTTTGAAGAATTATAAAAAAATTGTATTAATATTATTTTTACTTAATAAAATTATGAATTAGTATAAAACGAATTACTTTTTGACAGTGAGACCGGAAGTGGTGGCATAAATTTGTTAATTTTTAGATATTTCTAGTTATTTAAAACTAAGGCTATTAAATTCAGATATGGATTTTATAGTGAAACTAATTAACACATTGAAAATGGAATAAATCAAGTTTTGCTTAAGAAACTTATAAGAAAAAAACCAATAATCACAGGAATGCAAGAAGTTGATAGAGTAAGATAAAATAAAATTGAGAGAATACTGGAAAGGTATATTCGACAAGACATATTTCTTTGAAATCAAAACATTATCAACTCCTCCTCCCATGTTAATAGAGATTATCAAATATTTTATCTTTTTGATAAATCCAATAGAGAAATTGAGACAAGATAATTATGCTATATGGAAAGAGTTTAAATAATTAATTACAAAAATAGATAATTTAATTAAAAGAATATTTGAATTTGAACCTGAAAAACTCTCAAAAATAAAACTGAGTTTGTTGTCATAGATATTGGAATTAAATTGCTAAAATACTCTTCATTATTTGCATGGTGCAGAATTTATTTATTTATATATTCTATCTATAATTGAAGTAAGAAGAAATGATTATTACAATTTTTATTATGACTATCAAAATAAATTGCTAGAATATGAGAAGATGATAAAATAATTAGAGAAATTTGAAGAAAAATATTAATTTGAAAAGTAATGATTATGATAAAAATTTTATTAATATTTAAAATAAGATTACCCCTAGTTTATGATAATTTTGCTTTGATCAATAAAATACAATAGAAAAATTTTGGTTTGAATTTAAGAGAAAGCTTTTCCACTATCTCTAATTTTGTAGAGAACTATAAAATAACTATTTAAATAATTGAGTAAAATATAAATACATTAATAGATATCATAACATTTTTAATACGATTTTTTGTTTATCAGTTGAACCATGTTATGAATAACATTATATTAGAAAAATTCAGAGAAATCCAAATTAATGACATATTAATTTACATCAGCATTTATTAATATTATTTTGGATTTCCTTTAACTGACCACAAAATAATTAGAAAATTAGATTTATGATACACTATATAGCTGAACCTAAAATAAAAGCAAATATAAATAAAAGATATTTTCAGGTAAGAAATGACAAATTTTAATAACATCATAAAGAGTTCATCAATATCAAAACTCTTCTATGTAATGGATTCATTTAATTTTCTATTCTTGTGAAAAAGGAAAACTCTTTAAATTAAGAAAAGAAAAGTAAAAAAAATATATTTTGAGTAATATTGTTTGATCTAAGATGTATTAGAATGATTTATTTAATATTACTTTCTGGATTTTATAATTGATGAATATATTTTAAGTATTTAGCTCTAAATAAAAAGGAAAAGGGAAAATTTAAGAGAATCAAAAGCTTTAGCCTTGGAATGTAATCATATTCATTTATGCATTCTAATAAATATCTTTTTAGTAATTTACATATTTATATCACTCAAAACGAAAGCACAATTCCCAAAATATTCTGAATTTACTCCTCAATAATATGAAGACTCAGAAAAAATTTACTTCACAAATTTTTTCACATTTCACTTAGATCACCAAATTTTCTTACTTCATGGTCCATTATTTTTTCCTTGTAAGCGTAATTAGATTAAATATTTTTACTCATAGCACAATTATAAAATAATGTAATCGAAACCAAATTAAATTTCAATTCTATTCAATTTTAATGAGATTCAATCTATATTTTCTCAAATTACATTTATTTTTCATCGTTACATAATTGATCCAAATATACTGAATTCATCTTTCAAAAAAAATTTCCACAGAAATTCTCATGTATTCAATATTTTCATAGTTGATAGATCCTTCCTCAAAGAGGTGTTGGATAAAATTAAGAAAAAAAAATAATAACAGATTGCTTGAATATCTATAAAAAAGTGGCATTAAGAGCAGCCTAAGTCGAATTAGTCAGTGAGAATCGAATAAATTCGAAAAGATTTAAAGAAACAATATCAAATGATTAGTATATAGTTGAATTATTAAAATTCTAATTTACTTGTCAGTTATTGATGAAAGATTTATCTAATGTGGATCTAATTCACGCAAATTAGTAGTAAATGCAGGTGGATTGGAAGGAATAAAGTTTTGTGAATATCAAAAATATAAAACACTTCTTTATTTGGTGGAAAATTTGTTAGATGCAATTTCAATAGATGAGAATTTGAGAATGTAGATCTGAATTAGGCATAACTGTTAAATTGTAAATGGAAAAATATAAAAATACATGAGTCAAATGAATTGCATAGTCATTAGTTATGATACCTCTATCCGTATATAGGATGTAAAGACAGGATAAAGAAAAGCTACATAAAATGGTAATTCAAGTGAAATTCTATCATTTATTTTCTCTACTGATGGCACTACTTTAGCATCTAGTGGCTATGATTACTTTAACCGTTTATGGGATGTTAAAAAAGATCCACAAATTTTACCTTCAGATAATCATTACAAAAGAAATTTTGGCGTAATTTACCCACACACCCATCCTTCCAAATAACACACTTATCAAACATATATTTTTGTATAGAAATCCATTTTATAAGTGGCTTATGCGATAAATTTGTAAAAATAAGAGTTTAAAAAGACTTCTTAAAACCAGCCAATTTTCCAATACCTTCCAAGTTATGCTATCTTGATAAATACTGATAGATTATCGCTTAGTGATGAACAATGTTAGGGCAAGTCAACCCAATATCCAACTAGTAATCAACAAACCCTTAGAATCTAATTTCAAATTTTAAAACACATTATGCGAATATTCTTTGAATGTAAAATAAGTTCAAATTAGTCTTGCATTTTGAAGCTGCTTCAATAAAATACTCACTATAGATTAATAAATTCGGATTAAAAATTAAAAATTGTTAAAAGGTCTTTAAAAGTAAATAAATTATCATAAATAGATAATTTTTATTTGCTTCAATATAAGAATATCAATATTTATTTATATTCCATATTCTCAACATACTTTTTTTTGTCTTTATTAGAAGTTTAATTCTATAATTGCTTGTAAAGAAAGGAATTATTCTCACGAATTAAAGGATTTGTATTGCTCTAACTCAGCAAATATATAATCTCAACCCCTTAATTGAGCTTATCTTTTAAATAAAGGTTGCTAAATCTAAAACCGATGCTCAATGATCTGATATTTTTTTTTATATATCCCAGTTATTATTTTCCAAACTTGAATTTATCATCCAAAGAGCAGCCATTTCATTTCTCTACATTTTATAGCATAACTTATAATGCATTCATTTATAATGATCTTGAAGCCTCTATAATTATTCTCTAGGCCACAAAATTTCAAGACCATAATCCAATATTGGAATTTTTAAATCTAAAATTAATTCAGGATGTCTCTTAGTGTTATGGAGGTTAGTGAAAAAATTTTTGATTTCTACAATGTTATAAATATCTCACAAAAGCAAATTTTAATGCATAATCATAGTCAACTATTATTGTGAACAAATATGATTTAATTACCATAGCAATTTTTAAATTCTCAAAAAGATTTTGGATTTCTTTTCAGCTAATTTGATTATAAATTATTTTAATGATTGGAAATTTGAAATTTTTTTCAATATTATCAATCAAATTGATTCTTAAAAACCTAACAAATTTTGCACTAGTAATAATGATTAGATTATTTCTAAGGATAATAGGTCTTAATTATTAAGTTCGAGTGATATTATAACATTACACAGACAAACCAGATGGCAATACAATCTATAATTTAGTAAGAGTTGAATAAAATTTATCATTATGTAAAGTAGTTGAATAACACTTTAATATCACTTTATTCTTATTACAGTTAACTGATTCTTTACTAATTAAAAATTCGAAAAATGCCTCTAGCAAATCCTTTATATCAGAATACTATGGAATAAACTGTGAAGATTGAAGTAATAATTGAGCATTTGAAATATTCTAAAGGATTTGATGACCCCCCCTCAACATCATCCTTAGTTAACTCCATCTTATATATCTAATCAAACAATAAGGATTTGCTACTCATTTAAATTATGAATACAACAAAATATGCTTTCAATAAAGAGCAATGGGGAGATAAAGAAAATGAAAAGTGGTAAAAGAGATATTATTTAAAAAAATTAATTCTTCAATTAAATTAAAATGCTAAACTGAAATTTAACTATCTGGATCTAGCTTTTGAATAATAACGAACCACTTAAAATATAAGAGATATGAATAAGTATTACCTAAGTTTAATTGACTGAGCGAAGCCTATTGAGGGAAAGGAAAAAACTTGATCCTAAGAATGGGTGAAAAAAATACAGAGCCTGTCTCTTAGAGCTTTAGTTTCCTTAAAAAAGGAGATGGTATGCTCTGGAAGTTAAACTCAGGATGGTGTTGTGGTAAGGAAAGAAATAACAAATAAAAATTGCAGAATACTTTTTATATTAATTATATACTGAAGTGCATACTTGTTAATACTGCTTTCCTTCTCTCTTCCCGATCAATGAAAAATTTATAATTTCAGACTGTACTGATTTCATTACCATGCATCATGAACCTTTTAAATTAAGAGTAGTAATCTCGGAATTATTATTAATCAATTTTACTTTGGTTCATTAATTAATGTGATTCCCAATAAATTCCTAAGTACATAACAAAACACTAAGAAATTTTTGTATACTAACATTTGAGGGAGTAGAATAAAATACAGATTAAGGCTATGATGAAAAGGACTTATATCAAGGGAATAAAATCTTTCAATTACTTAAAGGTCTTTAGGGCCTATTATGGTAAGTTATTTAGCAATATAATTCAGCAAAGAGTTTGTGAGGCTCTTCAGAAAGGCTGAAAGAGTTTAGGCTGATTTTGATTTCCACTATTTCTCTATCAAATTGATGGATGTGAAAAAGTCTAAACTAAAATTTACTTAGAAATGACTTTGAAAAATATAATTCTAGAAATATTAAAGCATACATGACACCATCTAACTGTACCATAGTTGAAGATAAATCATTAATCCAAAGTATGTTTATATAGAAATACAACCTATAATTAATCCTATTAAATAATATTTGAATATTTTGCCTAGAAGCAAGTCCTAACAAGATTGCATCTTTCTTCATATAATCAGAATCTATCACTTAAGTATAAATTTCAATTAAATTATACAATTAAGAGTTTGTAGAGTAATTTTGATATCTAATTTTAGGCCCCGTCAATAAACGGACGAACAAGCTAAAATAAGCTATGAATATTGAAAGGGTTGATTAAAATTTCATTATTGTAAAAAAGGAAATAAGAGCATACATAAAGTCTTACAAAATCCTTTTATCTCTTTAGTTTCTGATGATGACAGAATTAGAGTATACTAAAAGGATTTCCTTCTGGACCAATTCTTGTTTGAGTTGAAAGGGATGGATCGAGAGAATTAGTGTCATCAATGCAGATTAGAATAGTAATAGAGTTGAGAAAAAGTTCAAATTTAACGAATGGATGAAGAATTTACTATCCTAAAGTCTAAAAACGCTTTTTGAAAGATGATCTTAAACTATTTATTATTGGCTAGAACACTAAGAATAAGAGCCTACTTGAAATTGAAGCACCTTCTAGAAATAGGGAGCCGCAGATGGATAATTCAAAAGGGAAATATTACAGAAAAAGAGCATTCTGATACTGAAGGTTTACTAAGGAGAGATATTGGTATATACCTTATGGATAGTGATTATCAAATAGATTAGGGCTAAGTGAATGGAATTACTAAAGACTTAGAACCCATTAGACTAAAATCCAATAAAATTTGAATTTGGAATTTGTATTCAATTGAATTTAAGCTATATTATTTTATAAATGAATAATTCTTCTATATAAATTGATGATAATGATTTAAACAATTATTTTGAATATATTATATCTATATTGGTATATCCTCTTTAATGTCTTAAAATGCATACAGTTTTATTGAATAAATCATGCAAAGTATCATCTTTTAGGTAAACAGGACATTTAATTAAAACGAAGCCAAAAAAAATAAAAGGACTATTTTTAATTTCAGGAAAATCATTATTCAGCAACACATTTCAATTAATTTTAGCCTCAAGTTACTTTTAGCATGAGATGAAGTGCTCAAAAAATCTCTACAATATCTAGTTAGGAATATTATTAATTAAACCATTTTATTTAAATACATCATGAAAAAATTAAAAATTGAAAAAAAAATATAGAATTTATTAAGTAATTATTGTTGTATACTTGAATATTCAATATGGTGATTTTGATTGTCTATTTCAGAAATCTGAAAATTTATTTCCTTAATAATAGTAATTATAGCTTTTATTTCTTCCTTTTTAAATTCTAGACAGTTTTGAAAAGCTGCTTATGTATCACATATGATATCGAATTATAATTCAATCTATTCAATCAAGTCATAATTTCTTTTTTCTAAGAATAATTTTTTATGCAACTCTCTTGGGTTGAATTTATAGTGAACCAAAAAGTTAGAAAGCTTAAATTTTAAGTGCATTGAGTTTATAATTACGCTTGTAATCAATGCATTTAGATAATACGCTTTCAGCAATGAATACCTTGATGAATAATTTCAAGTAAAAATAAAGATGAATAATTATTAATAATTGCTATTATTTTCTAAGTATTTAAGTCTGTAACTTGACTGATTTATCATTTCTACAACTTTTTATAAATTTTTATCAGTTTAGTTCAATGAATAACATAGAATATTCTTACATTCTATATAGTTATGTCCTCTTATATGGCTAATGATTTCATTCTCGAAATTAATATATTTTTACATGAGAAAGTAATTGATTTATAGGATTAATTTTTGAAATAATTGTTTAAAATAATATATTTTTAAGGATAACTTACAGGAAGGTGAAGGTTTTAAGACCAACAGAGATTCATTTTGGACTACATCATTCATAAATTTTGATTAGAAATATCCCACTGGCTAGAATCAAAGGGTTTATAGGGCTGAACCCCTTATTAGATTCATTTGATCTAGTGTTTTTTCCATTATTGAGTAGCGTGGACTTAGTTAATAACAAAATTATCATAATAATAATGTAGATGAATCTATCAAATAAAATAACATAAAATACGATAAAAAGAGAACTTTGTTGAAAAATGCTATTTAATTTATAAGAGAATCAATCCCATCATAAATCTAAATTCTGAATTTTTCCATATTATTAACCTTTTCAAAAAAAAAAATTCGCTACTAACATTGTGATCCATTATCTGAAATACATTTTAAGAAGTAATTCTAAGATTTAAAACTGAGATTGTTTATTCCAGAATTTACATGACAAAATGGAAGCAAACATATTAAAGATATTTAAAAAATTGATTTCAAATTAAACAATTGATCTATATTATTAATTAACATCAACTAATTATTCTTATGGATTCTTCGAGCTGAATGGTAATAATTAATAGGAAGATAAAACAATAAAAGGAAAGGCCTTAGGAAGAAAAGAAGAATGTTGAGTATCTTCATTACATTGGTATTTACATTAAAAATAAAATTAGAATTTTACAATACAAAATTACATTATTCAAATATGAATTTTAATACATTCAAAATTGAATGAGAATATTCGGTAAGTTTGAGTGAAGATAAAGTGGAACATAATTAAAAATGGATAAAACAATCCATTTCACGATTACAGCTTAAAAGTTGTGCAGATCAAATACTTGAGAATTATTTCGAACATGTTAGAAGGAATTTAAGGAAAGAATAAGTGATTTTAGATAGAGCGGTTAAAATTCCTACTTTAAATTTAAGGCTAAAAAAAAGAGTAACATTTGTTGGAAGATTTATGAACAAATGAGGCTACTAAAATAATTAAATAGCTGGAAGAAACAAGACTTGTTCTTTTGAATAAAGCCTTTCCATAAATTCCTAATAAAGCATAATATTCGGCCAATTAAAATAAAGTAGTTTATATAAATTTATGGAATTGAGATTCAAAACAAAATAGAGGATTTTATGTAAAGAAAATGAGTATAAGATAAAATGTATTTGTTAAAGGTGGGGGAGTGTAGATAAATATTTTCATATATTTCACAGATGTAGATGATTAAAAAATAAGACGGTTAAAGTTCGTTATTCCACTATCAATTAGTAATAATATTTAATATTTCAACTTTGGAATAATGCTAAAGGATAATGATTCCCATTGACTTCATCATAAATATAATTCTTTTTGGTTGTTTCATTGGATTCTTTTTCATAAAATTTCTATAACTTATCACCAACCATTACTCTAGCCCCTCCAATATGAATATCCTATGCAGAGGACATAAAATAATAAATAATTATGTAAATTTAATGAAATTTCAATGGGGATAGGATGGACTGGTAGTTTACATTTTAATTTAGTTTAAAGTTAAACTTTTGAATTTCGAATAAAAATTCTTTTATTAAATAATGAATAATTTTTTTAAAACGAAATTTTTTCATGAAAATTAATAATACTCTCATTTTCCACTTTGCTTTTAGTTTAAATAGATTATTTGATTTTTAAAACAAAAAAAGTGTGCATTTCATTGTTTGCAAATTTGAGTAAATTTAAATTACCACTTTACATAAAATCTCTTAACTGTAATTATAGCTTCTAATAAATAACTATTAAAATAAAATTTATCACCAGAAAGATGTAAAAAATTTTCATTATGGTTTATAATTAGAAATAATAATGTTTGATGCAGTTTTGGTGCACTTTCAAATGCATATATATTTCTAATTATATAATTTGCATGTCTTTATTTTTAAGGATTACTCCTCTGTAAATGTTTATATATTTACGTTTTATATATAAAAACAAAAAAATTTATAAAGTAGCTATTGATTAAAGAAGATTAGATGTACTATATATTCAATCGTTATATTAGTTGAATACTAAATTAAGGAATCTTATCTAAGATTTTTGTTGCAGATTCAGTTTATGATACATGAAGGGACGAATTAAACTGATTGAGACAAATTCAATAATAGTATTCATAATATTGGGGTTAAAAATTCTTTTTTTTCCATGACCAACATAGACAGCAAATCCTCAATGTGTTTTTATCATCTTATTTATTAAAAGAAGAATAGATTGTATATCAAAAAGAATCAGATAGGAGAGTTAATAAGGGTGTTTAATTAGTAATTTTGAAAACATTATCTAGCAGAATGGTAACAAAATATATATGGTATGATTTCTGCTTTCCTTTAAAATTTATTAATTTTAACTATACAAATAACTCATTCTAAGACTAAATATCTAAAGTTTAAAAAATAATATTTAAGAAAAATTTCTAAATTTCTTATTAAATACATAAAACAACAGATTCTCAATTCCTTATTGAGTTCCTAAGTAAAATAGCCGTTTATATTACTCTTTGCTATTCTCATTTCAAAATATCATAACATCCCTAACTGATCGATAATTAAATTTGTTTCTTGAGTTAATTTATCTTCTAACTATACTAACAAGCTCTCCAAGTTGAATAATCTTGCATACGAAGATGGAGAATAGAGAATCTAATAAAGGTTTGAGACTAATGCAGTGAAAAATGTTTAAAATTTCTGCCTAACTATCTTAGCCATATATCTTTCTTTTACTTCTAAGTCTGGCAGAACTGTAAGGTAAAGCAAAACCTTCATTATTCAAATATTATAATTTATTTCACAAAAAAATAAGATTATATCAATCATAAAAACCCTCAAATAGATTATTAATAAATTATTATTCTTTAATATTTTATAAATGTTCAATTATCATAATTAATTTCTTTAAGCTGCTTCTATTTTTCAATATCCATTTCCACCCATACACCCACTCTTTTACCATTTTTATATTCACCTTTATGAGTTACTAATTTTGAAGAATTAAAATTCTAATCTAAATCAATCCATATTCCATTTTTAATACTACAGCATTCATTTTCATACAATCCACCACCACTAAACAATTTATAATTACGGTTTAAAAATGTACATCTCTTCATTATATCCAATTATGTCCTTGTACCAAATTTTCCATTGACCCACTTTATTCCCGTTTGTATATGCTCCGCTATAAGTTACTTAGCAATCTCTACAAAATCCCTCACTTACATCGATCCACTTCCCAATTTTTGTCTCATAATAAGATCCACCGCCACTAAAAATTCAATGATAATTTTACATCTCTAGATATCCTTTTCATTATTATATTTAATCTGCCATTTCCCAATTTTTTTACCATTCTTATACTCACCTTGATAAATTAATTAAGAATAATATGTAAATACATTCATTATATCAGTCCACTTTCCGACTTTTTAGTCATTATCATAGAATCCGATACCGCTAATAATGTTATTATACACCGCGCTATATAGATTATTTTTACATATTTATATTTAATTTATTTAATCCTTCTTCTTTATACCAAGTTTCCCATTCACCAACTTTCTTACCATATTTATATACACCCTTAAATGTTACTTATTTATCATCACAAAATTCCTCAATTATATCAATCCACTTCCCTATCTTTAACTCATCACCAATCTCATCATATGACCCACCTCCACTAAAGTTTATAATTAAATAATATTATAAATTATATTTACATCTATTTATTTTACTGATCTAAAACAATGCTTTTATACCAAATATTCCATTTACCCACTTTTTTCCCATTTTTATATTCTCCAGTGTAAGTTACTTAGGAATGCCTGGAAAATCCTTTATTAATATCAGTCCACTTTCCTGTTTTTATCTCATTGCCAATTACATCATACTACCCACCACCTCTAAAATTCATAATTTAGCAATTCAAATCATATTTACATCTATTAATAACCTTTTCCATTATCCTGTAAAATATCCCACTAACCAACTTTTTTACCATTTTTATACTCACCATTTTAGGTGGTCTAAAAATCATCACAATAACCTCTACTCAACTCAATCCATTTTCCAATTTTCAAACCCATCTCATATGCTCCTCCTCCTCTAAATTTAAATTAATCTGAAAATTTACATTTTTTAACTTTTCTAACTTATAATCCAATCACCAATTCTGTTATCACCCTAGTAATCACCTTCTTCAAATATCTGCTTGTTACTAAATTAAAAATTAAAGGTATCTTTAATACTCCCAAAAATCGTCACATAAATCAATCCACTTTCCTTCCTTTTATCCCAAAATATTGAAATTGCCACCCCCAACTTATTTTCCTTTCCATAAATAGTTCCATTATTTATATTTATACCCATTTATTCCATATTATCCTTAGAATTCTAAATATTTCATTTGCTCTATATTAAGCAATACTTAATCATTTCTTTTTGATCCTACAATATTCTTTTCTCTAAAAATTTTATCATTAAGTATACATTTTAAGAGTCTCTCCATTTTATTGATAAAGCTTATCTCCATTAGTTTTTGTTATTAGATGAAAAGAAGTTTTCATTAATCGATTTTAAAATCTCTAAACCCCTTCCAATTAAATTTTTCTTTCTTGATTTTATAACAAAGTACTTCATAAATTAACATATTTACAAATGTTTATGAATTTCTCCAACCAAATGACTAGCCTTAAATAGATATTTTGTGAGCCCTTCCAAAAATAATCCTAATTTTTAAATGGCAGTATTAATATGGTTTTTTTAATTAATCCATTATTCAAAAATATTACTATCCATAAAATTCACAAGAAAATCTAATTCCTCTTAAGAACATTCAAAAGGATTCAAACTATCTTTAGTAATGTTGAGAAATTTATTATCTCCTTAGGTTAAATCATTTGAAATTGTTTTAATAGAATCTCTCTTGCTTTGAAATATCAACCCAATTTCTCTTTCAATTAAATCAATTTGATTAAGAAATGGTTTCACAATTGACTTAGATTAATTTTGTTCCAATACATTTTACATATTCAAGTTGTTTGATCTTTAAAGTAATTATTTGAGGAATTCTTTTTTTGTTAAAATTTATTCTACAGGTATTTTAAGTTCCAGAATGCATTCCATGCAAAGCTTTCTCTATATTTTTGGACACTGATTGCCAATATAAATGCCACCAATCTAAGAATTTGGGTGCTCTGTACAATATTCCTGGTTTGAGATCATTTGAGGAAAATTAGATTATTTTGCAAATAATAAACGATAAGCAAAAACGATACAATTTCTATTAATAAGTCAACACAAAATTAATTACATATATAATATATTAAAAACTATTAGGCATTCTCTAATGATTGATAACGCACAATGATAATGTGAAATATTTAAGGAATCATAATAAAATTTATTCCATCGGGACTATTCTTAATAGTTTTATATTTTTGCATGACTATTATTTAAAATATTAATTGAGAATGCGTACGAATCAAAAAAAGCGATTGAGTTTACAAAAAATATCTCAGATTATTTATTGTATATTTTATTCATTTAATGACTTATATTAATATTTCAATTTATAATAATTATAAAGATTTTGCAAAAGTATATATCAATGGTACTTTATGAGATTAAAGTTATTTGTTAAATTAATAACAATTCGATGGTTGTTCAAAATAATGATAAAAAGAGTTGTCCACTTTCAATTGATATTCTTACGAAGACTTTGATCATTGCTAGCGATTGAACACTAGATTTGATTTAGAAAAGGGATAAAATAATCATGACTTATAAATTAATCTATGGATTAAATTCTATTTCGATTTGTTTTATGACAAAAGACCTCTCACAATAAAAGGTAACACTCATTAAAATTATAAAGGCCTTGCTAATTTTTTCATTATTTGTTGATGTGAATTGCAGAGCTTGGGTACTTTTTGAGACAATTGTTCAGTAAGTCAAAGTGCCAACAATAGAAAAAAAGAAGAATTCTAAGTTTTTATAAACTAAGTCTAAGTTGATTTCAAATGGATATATAAGCATATTATTCAAAAATTTCAATATCTAGTTACCTATAGGAGGAATAAAACAATTACCAAAAAAGCAAAAAAAGGGATTTGTTTAATAAGACTTAATATTAATTATTGATAAAAACCTTCTTGAATTAAATGAACTTAAAGACTGGACATATTATTAAAATAGTTTATTATTTCAAATCATGGAAATGGAGATCAAATGGATAAATGGTAACTATTATATTTAAGATATAAAAATGGTACTTAATCTCAATTAATGCATGATGATCTATGTAGTGAATCAATGTATCTTTCAAATTTGAATTGAATAACTATTTTACTCTTTATAAAATTATTTGTGTTAATTTTGTTTAAACCTTGTTTTTCGAAAGCTTGATGATTTCAAAACCATCCAGAAAAACTAAAATGATTTAACCAATGCCTAACTTTACATCGATCTCTTAATTTACTCAAACTAGTTATTTTTAACTGATGTTTCATCTCTTAAATAATTAGCAATTTTCTATTTGCTTCATCTCATACATCGTAAGAAGATATCATCCCAAACATTCATTTCAATATTATTAAATGTATATCTTAGTCATGCTTTCATCTATAGTTGCTTTGATAAATAAACAGCCAACCTAAATCATATTAAGTATTCTTTTTAATTTTATTTCATCCTTTTCATTACTTGTAATCCCCTCTGATAGTACTTTGATGTCCATAGAATTACACTTATCCTTCAATCAAAATCAAAGAAAAATAAATTAAGCAGAAAGTTGACTACAAATCGGACTTAAATTTATGCTTCATCACTAATAGGTTTATGATTAATCTTTTACTTAAAAGATGGAAGATAAAAGAAAAACATGCTAAACATAAAACATCATAAGCTGTATGATAAAATAATTATGAGGACCTTTGAATAACATTATTAGAATTCCAAGTTAATTAAATTAAAAAATTTGATTATGTTTCTTAAACGCCCAGATAAAATAAGCATTAAAAATGGATGCTTGTAAACTAAAGGAAAGTCACTCAACCTTGGTTTTGGAGATACAATGCTTTTCTTGAAACTAAGAGTAATGTTAAGCAAAAATATTAGTTGCTTATAAGACCTGGCTAGGAATTTGATCCACTTTAGATGAATTTATTATCAATGGAAGTGTGATGTACTAAATGTTTTAAGAAATAAATATTATCTTGATCTTGCCACATTTTCTGAATTAGATAGTATTTACTTTCTATATTTTCTTCAGCAAAGTTATTTTTGCAATTGAAGTCATGATCATTAATTTAATTTATAATTACAAATACATTTGAAATCATTGATCACCTAATTAAACCTCTCTTATTCTTATTGAGAAAATTTTTCAATTTACAATTTGCTTTACCCAACATCTTTGGTTTACGTAATGTTCTAAGAAGCTGAGAGAATCTGAAATTGCTTCTTTTCCCTACAATTCAATCATTAATTTGAATCATTTGTTTCTATTTTTTTGAAGCAACTAAAATCTCACACAAATTCTGTTTTTTTGTTATCCCTTTGATTCAATTAACCTTATACTTTTCGTTAAAAATCATTTTGCAAGATAGATATAATGATTTCTTTTATTTTTGACTTTGTAAATTGTAAATGTATCTTCTCCAATCAATTAAGAATGAGGAAATTATTGCTTTTAATTTTCAATGTTACGATTATTAGAAAGTGAAATAAAAGGAATATCGATTAATATCTAATGAAAATTAGTATTTTGAAAATATTATCACCATAGTCTCAGAAAATTCAAAATGAATTATGCTATTAGAATTTGAACATTCGTAAAATCTTTAAATATTCAAGTACTTTATATATATTATGATAAAAATGATTAATCATAAAATCATAACTTTCGAATGAGAGACAGAAACTTTCCAAATGTTTTTCAATATAAAATAAAAAAAAGAAAATTAATACTTGATTGATCAGATTAACAATTAATGTTTGCTCCATTAAGGCGTCAAATGTCTTTTGTAGTCGAAAAATTAAAGCAAAACTAAAATCTATCAAACATCATTAGTATCATAATATTGCTTTTTATGTGGATAATAAAATTTTCAGTCTCTGTACTCTTATTTATAAGTTTGCCTTATTAAATATTAAGTCCAATAGAAGGAAATTCCCAATTTTTATTCATAGTTGTTGGTGTATATCCTTAATTTGTTCGTTTATAGTGTATCAAAAATGTTACTGATGTCCTCTATTCATCTATGAAATATTTAATAGAGCTACCTGTGAGAATGTTCACATTCTTCTTTATATACTGATTGAAGGGCTTGCACAGATATTCCTGGCGGATTCTCCATTAATGCAAAAATATCCTGTTCTTATTCCATAGGGCTTTTTGTTGTAAATGTGTTGATGGCATTTAAGCATCTTATACTCTGTTCACCTGTAGTATTATTACATTTGCAGCATGGATATTGACAAATATATAAGTAACATAGAGAAGATGTGAAAATTGTGATATCAGCAAGTGTGTATCAAACAGCATATTTTATGAGTATTTTTCTTATCATCATAATTAATGCATGATGATGGTAATACTAATAAATTAGCACGTTCATCTTATGAGATAGTCTGAAGAAAAATTTCCTAGAGCTCTTAGTAGGATCATTATTCTCAAATTAAGAAGTTTGATTCATAGGTATGTGTGAGAGTATGAATTGATTGAATTCAGGATTATGTTGGCTTTTTATTTGGAAAACAAAGTGTGTGATCAGTTCTGCTTGAAATGATTTTGGACTTTTATTCCTCCTAAAGTTTTTATATTCAGATGGTATTATAGAATTTAGTTGGAGGATGAAGAAATTAAATCATGGCATACACCATTTATTTAATTCTTCTTTTTGTTTCTAAAGAAACGTATACTTATGAATAAAGTAGAAGGTTAGTATCAATATATAAGATATTGATCCTAGGCATTTATTAGTAGATGATCGAAGGATTAATTGAGTAATTATAATATTTAGCTGCAGTTTGAGAGAAGCTTTTATTTTTCCCAGTTGCTTTTCCTCCATAGTGCGAATTTTAATTGTTTTAATACATATATAAAAAGTACAACTTGGTGAAGAATTGATTGACTTATTTCTGATTTCTTAGATGCAAAAAAAATGTGGGAGCTTGATTTAATTTTCAATAAAGTTAGTTGTTTAAATGAGCTGATATTCCATGAGTTAGTTTGATAGCATTGTGTTACAATAAAGACACATTTTTTATTGCTCTGAGATCAAGGCAGTGTCTGTTCCTTATTGAGAGTGTCACCTAGTTAGGGTGCAACTCATTATTGATATGAAAAATTCTCAATTATGTGAGCTTCTTTAAGGTAATTTATTATTACAAGGTTTTTTCTTTTGTTTTTGTAGTTTTCTAGATCATTGTATACATAATTGCATTCTTATTGAAATAGAAACCAGCAGAATACTTTCAAGATGTCAACAGGATCTTGAGAGGTTTATGCAGAAATATCTGAGGTTGTTTGATACCTGAGATCGAAGACGAAAGTTCAAAATCATATTTATTAAAAAGATTATCAAAATTCAATAGCCTCTTTAAGATTGAATTCTGATAAAAGTTCAGGTTATACGAATTAAATAACTGAGGCGGTTTAAATTATTTATGTAATGCCATAACAGCTTTGAGTTTCACTTCGCATTTAGATATGATGATTCTTATCAATTAATTAATGTTAATTAGATCTAACTTTGCTCTGCAATGAATTTGAACTGCAAATCCAACTACAAAAATGGGAAATTCAAATTTACCTCATTAAAAACTACGTATAGATAAGAATAGAACCGCCTTTGAATATAGCATAATCATAGTTTGATTGGTTATAAATATGGATTAGTCTTAAAAATGGACAAAGATTATTATTTGAGACATAATGTTCAGCTGGCTTTCATCACAATTTGCTTTCCATCACCAGAATACAAACCCAAGGCAATTGTAGATGTTGGTGATTGGCAGGTCAAACATTAATACGGAGAACAAAGTGCACATTATGCATAAGGTATCCACCAATTACATTTAGAGATAAATAAGCCAGAATAATTATTCTTGATATTTAGAAATTTAAAAATCTGTAAATAATAGATCATATTACGTTTATAATAAAATTTTAGATAAACAACTTTGTTTACAAATATCTATAAAAATTTTTTAGTATCTGAGTTGAAAATTTGATAATGGTGGGTTGGAATTACACCATTATTGTTGAAAATACTTCTTTTAATATCATTAAATATCTGAAATATATTTCATATTAAATAATCGAATATTTTGGAATGGTTCAATAAATTTCAAATTATTATATACAATCAAGTACGAGAAAAAGAAAGCATCTAAAGCTATTCTATAAGTCTCTTGAGATGTTATTGATTATATTATAATATTCTTCTATGTAGCATTGTTTTAGAATAAAGGAGATAATTAATTTTAATATATTTGTAATTACTATCATTTTATTATTCAAATAGAATTCATCAAATGTATTTTATTCATATATTTTAATATTGTTAAACAACCTATATGGATGACTTTTAGAAAAGCTATTTATTAAATCTCAATTGCGACACCATTGGTATGATAAATTATGTTCCTACGTTACTGTTCTTCTCTAATATTCATTAGATTTCTAATATAAATTTTGTTAACTGTTTGAGGTATGTGAATAATACAACCCTATAAATAATACTATTTTCATATGAAGAGTTGAAGGAGAATACTTTAATTACCTGAATTTAGGCCAATTAGACTTAACAAGAACAATTTTTAACAGCCAATTAAGCAGATTTATTCAATTTAATTGTTTTTCTAAGAATTAATTCCTTCATCTATCAAGATATGTAAAGCAGAATTTAAATTAATGAAAGGAAAAAAACAAAAAATTCATATTTTTTAACTGCAGTATGCAAACAAAAAATGAATAAAAGTTACAAATAAAATCAGTAATGATTTTAAGTCAAATTCCATTGATATAGATTATCAGTTGACAAAATACATTAAAAATATGTCTGAAAAATAATATTTGGAAATTGAGATACGATCAGAAATTGAGAATATGCCACAAAAAAATATTACCAAAAAGCTAGAAGTATTGAGTAGTTCATATGAAGCATGTAGGATTATGAATGCTATTCAGTTGAGATCTTCTTTTTCTTGATGAAATTTCATTTAGGACCTATAATCCTATTTATATTTGTTGATACTATTTAAATAAGAATGAAAATAGGTGAGAGATTAATGTATTATTGGATATATTTGAATTTAAGGTTGAGAAACCATTTACTGGGAGACCAAATCGATTTACAGAAGAATGATGATTCTAAATAATTCCAAACTAATTTAATAATCAAAGAATAAAATATACTTGGACAGATTGACACATATAGAGATTGTTTGGAAAGAAGAGAAGTTATTTTGTAAGAGTAATACATGTAAGAAGATTGAGAGTTTCTAGAAGTAATGAGAATAATGAAAAATATCATTTTATCTGACTCTCTAATAGAATAAATTATTCTCAAAATTTTAATTAAGGGGAATAAAAATAAATAGAAGAGCAAATTAATTAAGATAGAATACATTTCATGAACAGATTGATAAATGAAGGATAATATAGCAACATAGTGCCCCAAGCATGTAAGTAAGAATGAATTATCTTTCAATAATTTTTGAAATTTCCCAAGTATTTAGATGGGATGAATTTTCTTTCATATAATTTTCTATTTATATCACTGAAAAAATGAGTAGGATTATTCAATTTGATAGTTTCTCAAACTTTCATTGATTGATGGCTATATTTGGTGTTTTTAATCTAGTTCTTGGGTTAAGTGAGGAATTGATGAGAATAACTTTCTTTACAAAGGGACTGAAAAATAATCTAAAGTTTCTTAAAAAGAAATAATCAAATTATAATTTTAATTCATTCTAGTCACATCATGTTGTTTAAAGAGCATAAAAAGTTTATATTTAATGTAAAAACTTGATAATGAACTAATTCTTAGTTTTTGAATCTAATTTGATTTATTAAAAATTCTTCATTATTAATTCAACCAGCATCCTATATTTGAAGAGAGTAAAAGGAGAAAGCCATTTTTTACAATTCTTTTTGTTCAACTGAGTAGACTCGTGTTTAGTGGAGGGATTCTCTCTTTAAAGGCAAAATATATATAGTTATGTTCTAATTTGATTTCACAAGCTCAGAAAGACCTCCATTGATTCTTCACTCGAATCCAATAGTTGATTTAATTTACACATGTTAAAAATTGAAAATTGGGAAAGAATTTCTTCTCTATTTATAAATTGTGACAAATATTTAGGTTTAATTTTTTTAAATCTACAAAATTGGACTATGATAAAGCTATTTATATAATTTGCGGCAAAATAATTATTCTTTATCAACTTATCTTCTAAATTATAATTTGAGTAATTAGTTTCAATTCTATTTATAATTCTATTCTTAGAATGCTACTTGATCAGCAAAAAATAATTTAGTTTTGGGGTTCAGTACATCTTGAGAGTGCTGCTGAAAATATTGGTTCTCTAAGGTAGAAGAAGAACGATTTATATAGGTGGTTGTAGAAATTTTTGAAAAGTCAAGTAAAAAAGAAATAGATATATGTGAGTTTTCTGAAAAATTGCAAAAGTGAAAAAATATATATGAAGTGTGGAGGTAGAAAAAGACTGGTGAAAATTATAAAATGGGAGAGGAGAAAAAAAGAAAATGGAGCAAATGATACCCATAAAATTTTGTGGATAAGGGCATGTTGCAACAGTTTATTTGTTCACATATATAACAAGTTGAAATCAGATAATTACTTATGGATAAAATTAAGAGAAATGAAGTAAAGTTATATGCATTTAAAGATATTAGGCGAGAATAGAATGTAGAAAAATAATATGTTACCAAAAATCAAGCAGAAAACACAGGATGTGTGAAAGAGTCTCTACAAGAAAAAGCAATAACAAATGATATATGAGCTGCAAAACAAAATTAGCCTATATAAGCAAAAGAGATTTAGCAATCAAACCTAAGTTTATTTTGTCATGGTCAACTTTACCTAAACTACTTGACCAGGAAATTGACTAATGATATTTTTTTTAAAGATTAGCATAGCATGGAGATTATATAGAGTGAATAGTTTTAGGGTTGATAGTGAGGAAGCAATTTTGAATGCTACCCTAAATGCAGAAATAAAGTGAGAGGTTTTGAAGTGAATCACAGAGGTCATGTGAATTTTCTATATAGAGTTAAGAAAGATTCCTTTTAAGTTTAATTATCAACACGATTGCCTTTAAAGTGATTGATATTTGTTATACAATTACTATGTTCAGAATATCGCCTTGAAATGTGAGTTTTTTACAAATCATTATTCTTCCAATTGATTCTATTATTTTTTTTCACTTTTGATCACTTCTGGTGAAATTAGAACTAATCAAGAACTTTTCCTGGTTTAGTATTTAAATCCTATAAAGCTAAAGGTCGATATCTGAATCATTTTAATAAAATCGGATTCTCCTTCTATATTATAAATATAAAACATCTAATTGAATTAATATCAATTTATTGGTCATATAATATATAAATAAAAATATTCTATAATATCAGTTATATCAATAATATAAGTATAAGGATTTTAAAGAAATTAGCTAAACATAATAAATTATATTTTATCATATAATTCTCAAATACTATTTTTCTGAATTTTCAAGATGTTATATGCTCCACTTCATAAATTAAGTACTTTTATTCACTCTCTTTCCATAATACTAAAAACTTAAGATCATTAGTTGCAGCCCCAAATATTGAATTATCATTAAATTATAGTTTAGTTGTTAAATTATATTATCCATTCAATCGTTTTTATAGAAAATAAATGTGAAATTTGTGACGAAACAAAATGACTTGTTTTTCTTTGAAAGACATGGTTTGAAACAAACTATAATCAAGTACTTTATTATTCTATTACAATTTTAATTCCTTATTTTTTTATTCTTCAAATAAACCATTAATTAAAATAAAAAAGCAAATGAAATCCCCTCCATTTTATTCACCAGTAACCCAAATGAATTGATTATCCTGAATAAAATCTACTTTAGCTCCCCATCCTGTTATTGATTAATTAACAATCTATTTAAATACCCATTTCTCATTTTAAGTTTTCATCCAAATTATTATCTAGTTATCTTATCCACATGAAACTAAAAATGTTTCAGAAGTATTTAATGATAATGCATAAACCGTATTTGTGTGTTTCAATAAAGAATAACAATATTATATTCCATTATTAGTAAAATCAACACTCCAAACTTTAATTGTAGAATCATTACTGCCAGAGAACAGCGTGTTCTCATCATTAGATAATATGAAACACAAAATTCTACCTGTATGATTTTAATACTATTATGATTATAACCACTTTTACTCTTCCAACAATTTCCAACATCTAATCGAATTATCATAAGAACCAGAAATAAAACTATCTTAATACTTACTAAATAATAAACAACTTATAACATTAGTATGGCCTGATAATTTAATTTATTCAGTAATCCTACCAGATTCAAAATTCCATATTTTTATAAATTTTCCAAATCCTGAAGCTAAAATTTATCCAGAGTGATTAAATGCCATTGCCCAGCAATTTTCTGATTATTTTACATCATGATTAATCAATTTTAGGTTGATTTCAAATTTATCATTTTTAGCTAAATTTAACAATGTTTTCTTAAGTTCTAAAACTAATTCTCTTGACTTATTATTGAATTCTTATAATTTTCTACTAACTTTCCCAATTAAGGAATCGTTTAGTAAAATAATGCGATTCACTAGCTTTTCGAAATCAACTTCCTATTGATTGTTATTATTTAAAAAAAATTCTAATTTATCAATAAACCCATTAGCAATATTTTTATATTTATCATCGGATAATTATTAGATATAATAAGCCATACATTCTTATATTGAATCTATTATTTATATTATATGAGATTTCCAATCATTCATATAATATTTTAAATATTCTATTTGTTATTGTCTTTGAATTAAAAATCGATGTTTTTTTTCTGTATGCTCGTTTAAATATATTTCAATTAAATTTTAGATTACTTTCAACCCCGCAATTTTGTATGTCTATTCATAACTTTACATACAATCACTACATAATAGTCTTTGATCCTTTTGCACATTTCTATCTACTATTACTGAACAAACTGGCTTATTATGATTTTAACAACAATTTAATGTTTCATTTTCTATCATTAGATTCTTATTTTATTTTATTAAATAATTCGAAAACGCAAAGAAATTAAATAATATCCTTTAAATGCTCAAAAGCATTATGCTGATTATTTTCTCTTTAATTTTATTCAAAAGAAAATAGGATTTTATGAATGATGATTATTAATTCATGATTTATATAAAGAATTTAGAAATTATTATTACATCATAGTTATAAAGAACATAATAAACTAGAATATAATTCATTCTAATATCAGTCAATAAGGCAAAATTATTTAACAATCAAATCTATTGTTATCCTGCACGAATGATATATTAGAACCTTGTATAATAAAATAATTTTCAACTATCTAATACTGAAATACATTTGAAAATCTATTTTTTGTGACTTTAGAATATTCAAAGAATGGGTAAATCAGACCAAGATAACCATATACTAAATCTAATATTTCAGTCTTTACTATTTATTCTATAGTAAAATTTAGTTAAATATAGTTAAATTTACAAATATTTACATTGAATTTCGATTTTTAGTAAAATATTCAATCCCCCAAAACTTACTTATTCATGGTTCTTTGAATTATGTTAAATTTGTAATTTGTATCACTAATATAAATTTTATCTATTTCATATGAATTTAATTCAATCAGGATAGACAGCACTAAATATATTTAACCCTTACTTAACGTTTAAGGTGTAATATTATTCATTATCACGGTGTTAAAACATATAATTAAGTATAATTTTACTATAGATAATAAGAGTAGGATTTTACATTTTAAAACATTATTATATAAACCATTTCTATTTTATCTTTTCAGGTTTATTTAAAGAATAATAAAATAAGATATAAGTCAAAAAATAATAATGTAAATTAATTATTTGGAAAAATTTTATGAATATTCTTCATAATATCTCCAATTTTTTCAATTTTGATAATATGTTTCGCCACTAAATGAAACCAATATATACATTTTTTAAAATCCTTAATCAATTTTCCACTTATCTCTCTTGAATTCTTACCATTTCTCAAACTTTTTACCATTTTTATATTAACCCTTATATATTATTTATTTAGAGCTATTATCAATTTTAACTGTAATACCCACTGAAATCTTCATCTAATTCTATCCAAAATCCATTCTATATTCCTTCATCATCATAACAACCACAACCACTAAATCATATTAGGATTATCCTTATACATCTCCTCAAAATTTACAGAGAATCTAAAATAAGTCACCCATAGGCCAACCTTTTATCCATAATGATATTCCCCATAGTAAGTAACCTATTTATCTCTAATATGGAATATAATATATATTAATTACTCATTGAAATCAATAGCCAATTCAATCCAATTACCCTTCTTTAAACCATTTTCACCATATAATCCACTTCCCCTATAAAAAAATGAAACAATAATTTGTTATTATACAGTTCTTCAATTTTTAAATTATTCTTCCAATATATTTTCCATTAACCTGTTTTCTGTCCGTCTTAATATTCTCCTATATAAATAACTTAACTTAAACTAAAGTTGATAAGATGATTGATTCAAAAATACTTAAAAAAACTCTCACTAATTTCTTTTTAAAATCCAATTTTATTAAACTACTCATCATAATAACAAACCCCTCTAATATAGATCTAAAATAAACTACATTTTTTCAAATTAATCTAATTCCCTAAAATTGATATCCCATCTACCAATTTTTTTCCCATTATGATATATCCCCTAATATACGATTTAATTATCCCTAATTTTTAATTTTATAATTTAATACTATCTAAATTCATCACTCAACTCAACCCAAAACCCTTTCTTTATGCTTCCAACAGCATCATATTCACCACCACAACTATGATCAAATTTGTAGAATTAAGAATATTTACATAAAATCTAATTAATCCTTTTACTTGTATCTGGTCACCCATTAATTTATTTTTTTTCCATTTTAATATTCTCCCTCATAAGTAACTTAACTATACCTATATCATTTATATTATTTAACAGATTACTTATAAAAATTATTGCTTGGCTCTATCCAATTACCATTCTTAATTCCTGTTTCATCATATGATCCACCACCACTAATTTTTAAGATAAGATTATCAAAACATTACATTAATTAAAATTAACTTTAAAATAGACTCTCAATTCTAAAATATGTATCCCATCTACCAACTTTTTTACCATTTTAATACTCACCATTAAATGTAACCTATCTTAAACTAAGATATTAGAATTAATTAAAATTGCTGTTATACCGATAGAAATTATCAATCAAATCTATCCATAATCCATTCTTAATTCCTTCCTAGTTGTATGATCCACCGCCGCTAAAGAAAATATACATTTTTACATGCATTCAAGTTGATAAACACATGAAAACCTGTATTTGATTTCCCATTTATCAACCTTTTTATTATTTTTATATTCACCACTATATGTAATATTTGCATTACTATTTTTAATTTAGATTTTCAATACTTTGAAAAATTTTCACTCAATTCAATCCATTTTCCATTCTTGATATTTTTATTATCATATATTCCCCCACCACTAAAAAGAGTTTATAATTTTGATATTACATCAACTAATCTTCATAAATGTATTTCCATATTCCAATTCTCTCACCATCTAAATAATTTCCAATATAATAGACTTGCGATAAACTAAAAAATATAAAATTCTTTGGTACGTCCAATAATTCTCTATTGGTTCTTTCCACGGACCCTACTTTGATCCATTAGAGTACTCCCCACCAATATCCGCTAATGCTTAACCTTTCCAAATTAATATCCATCTTTCAGATTAATTTAGATTAGGATTTTGTATTTCAAGCCATTTTAAATATTTGATCTATTCTAAATTATTCAATGGATAAAGGAGGTCTTTTTATGTATCTCTGAATTAGAATAAACTTTAAAATATACACTCTTAAGTTTATTCCATTATTAGTTGAGTATTTTATTACCTTTTTTTTAGTTCTCAAAATTTAGAATTTAACTTAGAAATATCTGTTCCAATAGTAATCCCAAAGCAATCCAGTTTATTCATATTTGTCTTCATTGAAATTGTCAGAGTTTATCTAAATCCAAGTCACTGGATCTAAGGTTTTATCTTTAAAAAAATTCATATTTTATTATTATTCTTAATTAGAGTTTGCTTCAAAATAACTTTCATCAATATTTGATATATCATGAACTTTATTTTTAATTTAAGAGGGGTATTAAGTAAAAAATAATCATACATTTAAAAAATACATTATACTTTATTAACCTTTTTGTTGTTAATTAGTTTACTAATCAAAAATAATAAATTAAAACCAGAGATGTATATTTTATGTTTTACTATGAATTGAGGTGTTATCAATATAAGCCAAAAGTAATTTTCTCTAACTACAATTTTGAGTTATCAGTATTATATTTTCATATATTCATAAATTGACCAACAATTACACATTGGATTGTTGTTAAATTTGGATAAGAAATGGAATTTTATCTTTTTTGGCTTTAGAGGAGCACTTAGATCATTTTCTTAGTTATTATTGATTTTCTTTTGAATAGAGAAATAAATTACTCTAGCAATTCATTGCTATCATGTTTCATTATATTAACGATTATAATTAAGAATTCTAATGCTATTATTTATCCTAAATGTTGTAATATATTTATTGATGATTAACAATAAAACGATAATGCAAATAGTATTCACGAAGCATGCTTTATGTTTGGCTATTATCATTCATTATATATCGATTATTAACTATTGAAATTCAGATGAGAAGAATGTAAATTTAAGAAATAAAACCTGGTGATAAGTGAATAAATGTGATTATTAATTATTATTTATTATTATTATAAGATTTATAGCATTATAATGCATAGACAATAATATTGTACAATATTTGATCATTCATAACTGCCTATATTTGGTGTATGCTTAGATTAGAAATGCAATTCATAGAGACCATATTGTCATAAGTGTATGCAATCAATACACATAAATCATGTTACATCTTTAATTTCATTTGAGGAATTTTCAGAATGGATTAGAAATCGGTAGAATTAGATCTAAGAGCTAAAGAAATTCATCACTCTGAGCTAATTAACAACAGAATAACTTAAGTTTATTAATCATATTTAAGAAATGGAAATCAATTAAGAAAAAATGCAATAATTAGAATTATCTTAATTAAATATTATAGCCTATAATTTGACTAAAATAGATCACTTATTAGGCTTCAAAGATTGGCAATAAACAAATAAAAACCTTCTTGAAATTAATAAGATATGTCAAACAATGAAACAAATTGCTTATATGGTTTCCAATAAAGATTAAGTTCAGAATCTTAAGAAATAAAATTTTGAATAAAATAAATTAGGATAAGATCAGTAGCAAGTAATTAATGATAAATCACCCTTAATTAATAACCCTAGAGTCTAAATTGAAAAAATAAATTAACAATAAGAAGTGCCAAATTAAAAGATTAAATGGTAAGAGAAGAGCAAAGAATTTGAATTACTAATATGGAGTGATCCCAGATTCATAAGAACTAAATTATAAATAAACTAAACAAAAAATACAGAAGTTTAATATATTAAAGATGGGTTTATTTTAAGAAGGTAGCTTTATTTTATAATGATTAGCGATTTAATAACAACAACAGACCAAAAAATACTAAAAAATATAGAATAAATTAAAAATTTAGAATGGAGGGGTAATTTTGGAAATAATAACCTGAAAGTAGGAAAATGGGTCGTAACATGGTTGGGTAAAACTTTGGAAGGCGTAGGTGGATTGTACACTGTTGATGGGTAAAAACATGGTAGGTGGAGAGAATTAAGTTAGAATTATTGGACGTAAAATTGATATAATTGCATAATTAGTTTGGCTTAGGTGTATGAAGAGGGGGAGTATAATAATGGTTTAAGAATAGGAGTTTGGAAATACTTTTATTAAGATAAATAAATGTATCAAATTCATGCAATAAGTTAGCAATGGTGGTTTATATAATAATTAAGGTTAAAAGAATGGAGAATGGCAAGAGTTGAGTACCGAGTTTTGGGATAAATCGTAAATAATTTATCATGGTGTGTACAAAAATGGAAATAAGGTTGGTCGATGGGTTACAAAGTATGAAGGATCAGAGATGTAATATAAATACAAGTATTAGTGGTGGTGGCCTATATGAAGATTATCAGGAATAGGATAATTTCGTTTTAGTTTAAAACAACCTGTTTAAAGAATATGATTTTTAGTCAATCGTTTTGAAATAGCTAGATGATGATCAATCATAAAACTCCATTATAGACAATTCGACTGATTCATTGGATCATAAATATGAAGTAGTTGATAATTTGATATGCCCAAATAAAGTTGGTAAATGGATTGAATTGAGCAATGGGTTTTATAAGAATTCCTAAGTTACATATGAGGGTGAATATAGAAATGGTAAGAAATTTGGGAGATGGGAGATTTTGTGGAAAAATAGTTTTGAAGATAAAAATAAAGTTTAGATGTACTCATTATATTTTAAAATTCATTAGCGGTGGTGGATCATATGATTAGGAATCATAGCTAAAGACTGGAAAATGGGTTGAATTGAGTGAAGGATTTTGGGAAAATTCTTAAGTTATATACAAAGGTGAATATAAAAATGGTAAAAAGCAAAATTCTTGGACCATTGAATCTCTTGGAGAATAAATGTAAAATTATTTTTATAATTATTTTATAATAGTGGGGGGGGATCATATGATAAAGAAGGTTAAATTAAAATAGGAAGTTGGATAGAACCCATTAATGGATATTTCGGAGGAGCCTAAGTAATTGAAAAAGGCTAGTATTTAAATGATAAAAAAGTAGGCAAGTGGGATATATGTTATCGAGAGTAAGAGAACCAATCTTTTATTACAATGTAAAAATATGAAAGATATTAAATTTTAGAGGTGGAGGATCATATGATTAAAATAGTTCAGTTAAAACAGGAAATTGGATTGAATTAAATGAAGGGTTTTGGGATAGATCTTAGGTCACATTTAACGGAGAGTATAGAAATGGTAAAAAGGTTGGTCGTTGGAATAGCTATTTAAAGAAAAATTATGGGGATTATCAGAATGTGTAAATGTAAAAATAAATATTATATTCTCTCTATTTTAGTGGTGGTGGATCATATAGTGAATAAGACTCTCTTAAGATTGGAGAATGGATTGATCTGAAAGATCAATTTATAGTGTTTTAGTAACTTGTTTATAAAGGTGAATATAAAGATGGTAAAAAAATTGGAACTTGGATGGAAATAGAAATTAGAAAAAATGAGACCAGAGGTATTCTTAATTATGAAAATTGAATAATCATAATTCATATTTAAATAAAATTAGGCATTTATCTTTTTTTTAAATTGCAATAATATTTATTATGCAAAATTTTGAATCATTTGGTTATTAGTTTCAATAGTTTTAATTTTCTTATTCTCCATTTATCAATTATTTATAGATTATGCATTCTTAAAAATCATATTCTTTAAATTTAATTTGTTATCTTAAGATGAATGTTTATGAGAGATTAATATCTAAAGGCATCTCATAAGAATTAAATCTAATTATTATATGTTTAGTTAGTTTATCAATCATACTATTGTTTTTTTACTTTCCCTATTCATTATTTCTTATTAAATTAAATTTTAATTGATATATCAATAACTTCAAAGGAATATCCTTTCTACACCCTGCAAAAGTCTAACAAAATTAGACAAACATGTAATGAATCGCATCATCTTTCATACAAACTGAAGGTTCAATAGAGAAGTTTCTACATTCTGGGCAAAACTTACACAGGGGAAAACCATCGTATAA